CCTCAGCATGATTCCGATTGCTCAAGAGGTTTTTTTGGGGGGATTCTTGCTTCAAAGTATCCATTTACAATGGTCTCTTTCTCTCTCCCCCCCTCCCCCGCTTATGTAAATGCGTCAGAGAGGCGTCCCTCTCTCAGCAGGATTCCAATCGCTCAAAAGGTTTCGGAGGGGGGGATTTACGCTTCTGTTTATGCTTCGCTCATTTTAACTCACAGTTCATTGTTTCTTAACCACGCTTGTAATCGCTCCTTTGCCAGATCTCCTGCGCTTGACTGGGTCGGCACATCTTGTGCCTTGCTAAGAGGACGCAGACAGTGGGGAGGACTGTCAGGGTGGAGGGCAGCCTCAATTTCCCTGCAGATAGCAGGAAAAGAGGCTCACCCTCAAAAGCCCTATGGCCTGGGGGGGGCTCCCTGACCCCCCGTGGAGGCGCCGATCCACTGGCACCCCTCCCCTCCGCTGCTGTGCTGAGTGCCCTCCCCAAGCCTCGGGAAAGGCATCCGCCATTGTTGCACCGTAGACCCCGCCTCCCCAAGTGGCCTTGATTTTTGAGAAGGTATGCTAGTAGCCTAGCCTCTTATCTCCCACATTTATTTAATAGACAGGAAGTTGTAAAGATTACCTGGTAGACACAATCATCAAACCACATTGAGGAGGCCCTAGAATCCATGAAGAAACTTTGCTAATAATATTAAATCAGCATTATTGTATGTGCAAAAGTAGAGAAATTAATATTTAAGTGGGTTGTCTTTGCACACAAATGTCAAACATTCTGCTTCAGAGAGGCTCAGGGAAAGCTTTCTTTCTCAACAAAAATATATTTGTATTCTCCTGCCAACAGGATTTTGTGATGGCACTCTCCATTCTGCTGAGAGGAACAGTTCACGAAAAACTACGATGGACCTTTAATCTATATGACATAAATAAAGATGGCTATATAAACAAGGAGGTGAGTTTGTTTACAACACTGACATGTATCCAGTTGTTCAAGGGAAAGTGAAAAGAGAAGGCTGACTAGTGCATGTTGCAAAAGGAAATTCATGCCTGGCACAGCTGTCTGAAAGCACACCATTACAGATCAGTAAGTTATCCTTATTATTCAGCAGTTACTGGCTCAGAGCCAAAGCCAACCCCCACTCATAAATCACACCTCTAGAAAGATTTGGGTATATTTTAAGTAGTAGGAACATACATTACTAAGGTGTTTACCAGAAAGGCACAGGAAGGAAAACAGCAATTATCCATTAGTGCTAAAAACTGCCTGAAGTGGTGCTAAAGAAGTACTAATCTTATGCATGTTAAAGGTGCAGTTTGCTCTATCCCCATTGCTGGATATGCGTGCAGTAGCCTTTACTGAGAGGGAGCCGGAAGAAGGACTCTTCTGCATTCTGATTTTTACCACTTGTGTGTTCCTATTGCTGCAGGGTTCCCCCCCCCAGTGTGTTTTGCCCTCTCTAGTAGTCCCACGGGGAAAAAAACACATGTGGAAGGGGGGGGGACCCAAAGCAATAGGGACAAACAAGTAACAAAACTGAGAATGCAGAAGAGAGAGAGCAGGGGAGAAAAAGCTATTTTGTATAGAGATTGCGTAATCCTTGTTTTTTGCCTTGTTTGGTGGCTTGGGGCCAGGACAGCAAAGGGTAATCAAACAACTGAGAAATGGTAGAATATTGCTACAGATGAACTAGTAGCCTTTCTGGTATTCCTGAAGAGTTTTTTTATTTCTTGTAAGTGGCTAGAAGAGTGCTCACTCTGGAGCCACAACAAAGAGGGGCCATGGCTCAGTGGGAGAGCCTCTGCTTCACACGCAGAAGGTCCCAGGTTAAATCCCCAGTTTCTCCAGTTAAAAAGATCTGGCAGTAGGTGATGTGTAAAACCACAGTCTGAGACCTCAGAGAGCCACTGCCAGTCTAAGTAGACAGTACTGACTTTGATGGACCAAGGGTCTGATTCAATATAAGGCAGTTTTGTGTGTTAAGCAAGTTCAGTAGAGCCTCTTCTCTTCCACAGTGGAACCTGTAGCAGAAAATAATAATTTTTAAACCATCCTGAATGCCAAGTAATGAAATAAAGGTGAAGAACTGTGCCACTGGTTATCAGTAATGTAATGAACACTTCCACATGCTACAACTTCCATTATCAGATCTTACCAACATTTTAAAATGGAAATAGGAGCAACACAGAGCCCCAATTTGTTGGTGAGGAGTAAGGGTTTTATTTGTGCAA